AACTGAATCTAAGACAGAGAAGATGGTTGGAATTGATAAATGATTATGATTGTAAGATTGACTACCATCCAGGGAAAGTAAATGTAGTTGCAGATGGTCTCAGTAGAAAGACTAGTTCTTCATCTCCATCTAGTGCAGTATATGCTTCTTTGATTTGTGAGTTCAAGAAGTTACACACTCAATTGTCAGTTACTACTTTAGGGGCGGTATTAGCTCATTTTCAGGTAAGGCCTACTTTGATTGATAAGGTTAGAGAAGCTCAATTTCAATACCAGACATTGAGAATATTGAAAGTAGAAGTTAGTACTGGATTAAGAACGGATTATGTGATTAGAGATGATGGGGCGTTGGCTATGGGTAATAGATTATGTGTTCCAGATATTCCAGAATTGAAGAAAGAGATTTTGGAAGAAGCACACAGTTCTGCTTATGCTATGCATCCAAGCAGTATTAAAATGTATCATACATTGAAAGATCATTATTGTTGGCTTGGTATGGAGAGAAATAGTAGATTTTGTATCCAAATGTCTTATCTGTCAACAAGTAAAAACAGTAGGACTTTTACGGTCATTGCCCATCCTAGAATGGAAAGGGGAACACATTACTATGGACTTTTTATTTGGCCTTCCTCGTACTCAGAATGGTCATGATGGAGTTTGGGTTATCGTAGATCATTTGACCAAGACGGCCAAATTTTTGCCAATCAAAGATACTTATACTTTAAATAAGTTGGCAAAGTTGTATGTGGATGAGATAGTGAGCTCTTATGGTACTCCATTATCCATTGTATCAGATAGAGACCCTCGTTTTACATCTAAATTTTGGCCCAGTTTGTAGGACGCCATGGGTACTAAACTACATTTCAGTACAACTTTTCATCCTCAGACAGATGGCCAGTCAGAGAGGACCATGCAGACTCTTGGGGATGTGTTGAGGGCTTGTGTTTTAGAGCTCAAGGGTAGCTGGGATACTCATTTGTCATTGATGGAGTTTGCTTACAATATTTCTGTAATAAATTCTGGCCTGTATTTAGGAAGTTCCTATTCCTTCAAATGGAGTTTCTGAATGTGTAAGGAGAGATGATGAGAGGTGTCCTATATTATTTACCTATTCTAGAAGAACCTAGAAGAAAAAGGGAATAGCAGGCTAGAAAGTAACAAAATTTGTTATTGGAGGGATGATTGGACTTAGTTAGTTAGAGGAGATCTATATATAGAAGAAGAGAGAACTAGAAAGGCTTGCAAAAGTATTGAGAAGGATCAAGGCAAGAGTATTGGGTCTCTCGAATACCCAATTATCTTTTATATATTTCATTGTTTGCTGAGTAGCTTTATATAGCATTAGAATCTTGTATTTCTATCATTTACCTATCTTCTGTAATCACAGTTCTTCAATCACATAATATAACAGCCTATTTCACATCATATAGTGTTGGTGTCTTCCTAGCTATGATCTATTCTTCTGCATGAATCAGTCACTAGCAGGATTCTATCAGATGGTTTAGAGGCTACTGTAGGCATTAATGAATGTTTGGAGAGGAAGGCTAAATTTAACGACTCCAATGGAGATAACAACCACAGATGTGAGGACAACATCCGCAACTTATTTTCAATAAATTTGGTTGGGGACATAACATAAATAGAGTTGTACCCAATGAAGCTACTACCGCACATGCATATGAAATACCAAAGCCATTAGGTTTCACTAGCCATTCATTCTCATTGGCAACTCTCTCGTCTTTTTGTTTTGTCTTTTTTCTTTTCCTTTGTCCATAGTTGAAGTTTGATATTATTTTAAATTTTATTTAGCCAGTAGCCTTGACTAATTTAGTGAAATACAAGTTATAGAAATGCAATTTACTACAAGGTCATTTGGCATGCAATTCTTATCATTTGCAGAAATGAAGGTTTCCTCGGTAAGTACAAAAGATTCGGAACAACTTTGTTAGTATGTCTCCTACTTTGGTTCACTGTATGGCTAGATATGTTAACCTCAATACAGAATTTTTTCTGTTGCTCCATTTGTCATTTATTTTCTTTTACTTTTTTATTTCTAATCTCTGAGATGCTCTGCATGTTATAAGGTGTTAGCCATAAGTTTTTCCTTCCGTCGGCTTCTTCACAATGACTTGTTGCTTCTCTATTAGGCCAAATGATTCTACTGTTATGGTCAGCTTGCTTGTGGCAGCCTTTATGGGATTGCTTCATGAATACGTCGGTTTATTTTTCAAGAAGAAATACATTTACTAGTTGTCCTGGGTAAGTGGTGCATTTTTGAAGAAAGCTTGAAAGGGTGGCTTTGTTATTATTACTAACATTCAATATCTCATGCCTTTTATGGGTGGATACTTTCTCTATTTGGAGCTGTTAAAATTCATTTCAAATTTTATTTGTACAACTCGTTTGAGGTAATATGTTTTTTATACTAATGCCTAGATTTTACTATTATTAGTATTTATTATTTAGAATCACTTCTACTAAAATACCAGTGCAGTAATTTCTGGCATTCAATATGCTTCTCTTCTATTTTTATCTTATGTTTCCTTTCTCTTTTCACGAAATTTAACTGATCAAATTAACTTTATCTTGCTAACCTCATTTAACACACATATCCCATAGCGGTCTTTAATATTCTGCACGCTAACATTACCTTCAAAATAAGACAATTCGTGCATTGCACGGACAAACACTAGTTTTAGTCAAAAGAGGCCAACTATGCTATGACACATGAAAACTTATCCTGCAAGTATTCAGAATGTCATGGTCCCGTGACTTATCTTAAAATGTACTCTCAATAAAAACTTTCTACTACCTTATCCTTCTCGTTTACGGCCTCTCTTTCCACTTTCCATGAAAAAAAAAAAAGAAAGAAAAATCACAAAGCTCTAGGGGCGGGACGATGTGGTCCTCAAGGTTGGGGTTCAACCTTTTTTTTAAAAAAAGAAAGAAAAATTGTGGAAGCAGGGGGTTACTGGGAGACTTATAAGTCATTGAATTTAATAAATTTAAATTTATACATGTCTATTTAGTCGTGTTTCTGTATTTTATTTGAAATGGGGTAAATTGTTGGTGTCATTCCCAAAATTTATCCTCATCTGCACTTCTATATATATCCTTTTCTATCCAAAATTGATGTTAACAGGGCACAAGAAGATGAAGTTACCCTTGATTTTAAATAGAAATCTCATCGCCTCATGCCGAAGCTTTTGCATTTCTACAGGGATTATTATTTGTGAAGGAGACGGGATATTGGATTAACATAGAAGAAAGCGATGTACTCTAAATATGCAAGGTGCCAAGTTTCTAAACCTGCCCTATGGGCCCATGCTTATGTTCTACTGTGTTCCAATAAATGAGTTAACATAAATATCATGACGTCAAGTTGTGGTAGACATTAAATTCTACCACGTATTTGATTTTGATGGGAATTACACTTTTTCAGGAACAAAGTTATTTTATTCTGGATTTTTTTATGTATGAATCAACGTTCCTTTATAAAACTCGAATCCAGGTCAATGACTTTGGTTAAGTTTCACTCGTACTACTTGAATTAGGCCTTGACCTCAATTTTTATTGTGGTGGTATGAATTAATCAATATTTAGTAATAGTAATTCCTAATCTCTCGATTAGTCTCTATAATACAAATCTGTACATCTAAGTGCACAAGTTTCACAGCACAGTGAGTTTGTGCTTACCAGTAACCTTAATAATTTCTTACTAAAAAGTGAATTCCACATATATACTGCTAATTAACATAAGAAGACCATGGAGTCTTGGATTAGAAAAGCTTCAAATGACTGATTTTAGAGCTAGAGGAAATTCATGACTTGTCAAGGCTATCTTGTGTATAGAATTCATGACTTCAAATACCTCACGAGCTCACATCCGCTTGAAGCAAAGTATAAAAGTGTGCAAGGGTAGAAAGAACATAGAAAGCTCGCAGAAGGAAGAGGATAACCATCTTCCTTCCAGGCAGGCAGAAATTGTTAATAAAATACACGTGGATAAGTATTTGAGACATGACTTCTAAATCAATAAACACAGGACCTGTAAGATGATGAATAACATGTGAATATGTAACAAAATCAGTTACAAGCCTATCACTAAATGACTACAACCTATTACTTTCTAGATCAATTCGCCTCGAGGCCTTGAAGGAAATCTATAAATATTCTTCGTGAATTTATCGAGCAAGAGCTACTACTAGTGGACACAGTCTCATTACCTCATGCAAACTCATAGTAATTTGTGATGAAGATTTCATAAGATTATAAGCAGGGTAAGGAATACAGACACAAATATTCATTTGCAAGTCTAAAACTTTTTTCTTATGTTTGTTACGCTTAAATGGAAGTTAGTTACTATTTTCAGGAGATTTAATCCGTCAAAATCTGTTTTTTCACTCTAAAGTACTTGCAAGACCCCTTCTTTTATCCACGTCTACCAGTCTGAATGTGAACTCAATAGAACCAACTTTCAGACTAGTAGAAGCGGTCTCCTGTTGTGCAACATAGAACAACTTGTATAGATGTGGTGTGAACTATGCTAATTCCAATAATGATGATGGTGCTTGACAATGAACTAGTCCCTTGCTCAGCCAAGATTGATTCTAGGTCAGTCCTTACACCATGCTTGTCTGATCAACGTTTGTTAAGACTGGGTCAAGCTCCTCTGGTTAGCACTATTAAACATGGTTAAAGTTTGTCCTTTGAAGCTTGGCTCTTGGGTTGATCTTATGACCTAGTGTCACATTGACTATAGGATTCAATTCTCCTTATGTAATTTCTTTATAATCGAAGCCTTCTTAGCTGTTACGATGATTCCTATATTAAGTTCTTGAGGGCTTTCAGGCTTTCTTGTCATAATCTCTCTTGTGCAGTCTACAAAACACAACTTACAGGAGCTGAGAAGAAGAAAATGTGAAATGACAAGTGTTCATGCAAGATGATTGTATGAACTTTTGAAAATAACAATTATACTGTGAATTAATATTGTGGGGCTAATTAAAAAAAAAGCTAATATTAGTCTTACCGAAAATAATGTGAGACATATAGTAGTGTTGATAAAACAAGAACATATACGACTAAAAGAGCAAGTTAGGCCACCATCAGATGATTAAAAACATATGCAAGAGCGACAAAAGGAATCAAAATCCTGATGCCTAAACTCTATGGTTTTAGTTTGCAGAGAATTAACTGTGCACCGTACTGAGGTTGAAGCGTTAAGACTAAGTGTGGAGCATGTGCATAGGATGGAGAAAGCTCGAAAGAATATTTCTGTAAGATCATAGTCAGTGCCATCTTTGCTTCTAACATGGCGAAACTTTGTCCAATGCACATGCGAGGTCCCCAACCAAAAGGAAAGTACGAGAGCTGGCCATTGGTTGCCTTTGATACTCCTTCACTGAACCTCTCTGGCTTGAACTCTTTTGCATCATCGCCCCATATTTTGCTGTCATGGTGCAGTAGAAGTGCTGGCATTATGAGTTGCACTCCGGCCGGTAGGGAGAGTTTTCCTATTGTGGTTTCCTTGTAAATCATTCGAGATAGCAGGGTTGCAGGCGGGTATAGTCTTAGAACCTCGTGAAAAATCATCGTTACCTATCAAAAACAAAATCACAAGGGGGTAAGAAACAATAAATTTATTAGAAGTTTAATATGTTCTAGAGTTTTCAAGTTTAGGCCACCTTTGTGTCATAGACCCCTACTCGTACATCAATTTAGATAAGGTATTTGTCATATAATCTACCAGTTTATCCAAGTTCTCTTTCAAGAAGTAAAAAAATGAACACTTACGATTTTAAGGCGATTTAACTGATCAAAATTGGGTTTTCCACTTCTGAAAACTTGCAAGACCTCCTCCCGTGCACGGGATTGCCAGTCCAAGTGCTTACTCAATAAAATCAACGTCCACACAAGCAAGGATGATGTCGTCTCCTGTCCTGCAAAGTAGAAAAGCTTGCACTCTTCAATAACCTCCTTTAAACTCATTCCAGACTTCCTTCCATGTTGCTGAATTTCGGTGAAATTCGATTCTAACAATATGCCCAATAAGTCGTCACTACTAGCTTCTCCCGCCTCCATTGCCTTGATTCTTTTTTGAATTATGCGCATTACAGATGATTCCACTTCCTTAGCAATTCTACGCATCCTTTTATTTCTTTTTGTAGGAAAAAATCTATGCAGAAAGTCCAAATAACTTGTCAAAATCATCTTCCATTGTAATTTACCATTAGTACAAGGGAAAGGAAGAAAACACAGTAATCAAACCTCCATCCAGGGACATAAACTGAATTTCGTCCTTGCACGACAAGCTCGGCCTGTTCTGTTTGAAGTTCAAATATCTTTCTTCCTTCTTCGTAGTTACTGCCAAATGCCGTACGTGAAATTGCATCACTTGTCAAAGTTTGAAGATAAGGCCACACATCCACTTCACTTGATCCTTCACTAGATACAATCTTTTCCCATTTGCTTAACATGTCACCACAACTCAAATAAAACGCCGGAAGCATATTCTATAAGGAACAACATAGATGTGCATATCCCATTAGTATCGTGTCAAATAAAGATGCAGCATTAATACTCATTCCCACATGTTCATGTTAATTTCTTGAGGAAAAAACCTAAATTCCAGTTGTGTGAACCAGTTTCTGAAGGTATCAAATTCTTCTCGGCCCAGAGAGTGTTAGAAGCTTTTTGTACTATATATGTACTTGTCTATTTTTCATATGTATGAGGCAATTAAAAGAATTTTAAGGATGAGGAGGACGCTTTTGAAAATACCTTCAACTTGTCCGTGTAAAAAGCAGGATTGATCAGTCTTCTGTGCTTGGCCCATTTATCCATTTCAAGGGAAACTAATCCTTGTATTAGCAATTTAGCCATTGGATGAGGAGACGGCTTTTGAAAAACATAACTTTTCGACAAAACTTCTCTTATGATATCAGGGTCCATGATAAATAATTGAGGCCTTGGCCCGAACCATAAAAATGCATTCTGGCCTGCAAATTAGGACATGAATACAATACAGACAAAGCCAATTTGTTGATCAAGATATCGAAAAATCATTGAGATCTTTGTTTCATTTTGATGAATAATAACATGGGTGAATTTAGAGTTTTTGTTCTCAAACATACCATAGTTCTCGAGAGTTTTATGGATGAAAGACATAACTCTTGGCACAATATCATTGGAAAATTTGATGGGCTTCGAGTTGGCTTCTTTTGTCATCATCTCTAAATCTTTGAGGTCTCCAAATAATAATCTGTACGAGTTTCCATTGAAACCTTGCTTTCTGAGACGTTTATCTAACTTCTTTGGCTTAAACCACACCCAATTCAAGATTTTCCATGCATACACTAAGAGAACCACTGCAAAAAATACTGCAACTGAGTTTTGCAATGTCTCCATTTCTCCTCTTATTTAGTTCTTATCTTTGTACCCTATTAGGTTGTGTCTGTATATATATAGTGTGCTTTGCACTTGCTATCACCTTGGCTACTAAACTTTAATTTGTTATGGATCCATCACATAACTTTATAAAATGTGTCAATCAAGTCACCAAGTTAATCAGCAGTCTATTCAATAAGTAGAAAAGGAGGGTTTACCACATATAAATGGCGAGAAATAGGAAGATTTTTGAAGATCTTAGACTGCACATTGATAGCTTCCAAACACGTGTGTACAAAATCATGTTTTCTTTGTATCTCCATGTTTTGATTCATTTGAGTCTTTAGCATTGCATCTATATATTTTTTCGTTTGTATATCTTTTCTTTTTGTTTAGCCTAGGTATGCTTGGGGTACTTGTACACGAGTTTTGATCAATAGAACTTTTACATTCACCAATAAAAAAAAAAAAGTAGAAAATTCGATGCTTGGACAAACGATTTGACGACTTGAACTGGATAAAAATCAAATCGGGCAGCCAATCAAGAATGCTAGGCAGCTGTTGGAAGAGAATTTCTAAAATTGGGATTCTTTATGGTTTAATTTTTGTGGTGATTTTACATGTGGAATATTCTAGTTGTACATATTTATTGCACATAATGATGTCCACAATGTGATGTGGTAATCATTCGGTTGTTGATGTGCAAGTGTGAAATTTGAATTAAAGATTGAATCCAGTGTCACATGTAATTATGGACATCGTTATGTAGACAATTATGTGTAACACTTCCCTTTTACATATAGACATGAGATTTACACTTGATGTGCCAACTTGGACACGTCATCCGACCATTCATCCTTGTCGAATTTAATGCTAAATGATAGACAGCTAATTAACAGGCGGCTTGATTCACATGTTTTATAAAGTTATGTGACGAGTTTATAGTTAATGTGATTGTAAGTACAAAATATAATGGTCGCTAATGAAATTAATTCGCAATTTAAGAGTATGTTTGGTAACTCCTAAATAATTTTTTATTCACATATTTTTGCAATTCACAAGTATTATTCATTTATTCATCGTATTTTTTTTAAATATATTTATAATTATGAACACTTGCCAACACATAAGTCAAATATTCCGTCTTTGATTTGTACAAAACGTGGGGTAGTGTTGAGCACCATGGACACATATGGTCCATGTGTCCATGTCAATAATCTAGAAAGTGTTGATAAATGTCAAACTATTCTTATTTTCCAAAAATTTATTGCTTTGTTCCTATCTTCTCATCTGCAAGTGATGTAGACAATGGTTGAGCTACGAGCCATGGGCATGACAGAGCTGAGTGAAATAAAACAAAATTCTAGGGTCCATTGGACATATTGGGTTAAATGCATTGCAGCGGGTAAATCTATTTTTAGTAGAGTTGTATTCGAGTTGCTCATCTACGATCTACTAATAAATCTCTGATCACTCATCTTCGATTTGAGATATTCGGATCATTTTATCTAGTAGCTAGACATACTGGCATGCACGTAAAAACTAACATATAATTGATGTGTATGTTCATAAAACAAAACAACAGACGTCATTCTTTTTATAAAACTACTTTTTAAAAATACGATTAAGTAAGAAACACGTTATTAAACAAAAATAGAAAGCTTTTAACGATTGTCATTCATCCTAGTAGTTTGATGATTTCTATGCTTATTCGTCGTTCTTAATTTCTATGAAGAAAAACAACTGACTTTAAGGCTTTTTCCTGGATTTTTCCGATTGAGTACAGGCTGTACAGCATGCTTAAGTTGAATAAGTGTTTGTTAAAAAAATTAAAAAAAAATTAGAAGCTAATAAATAAACTATTATTTACACTTATTTCTAGAAGAAGTACCAATTTATAAAATGTTTTGAGGAAGATTTGCATGCAATATATGTGGTCATATGATAGCCTTTACGTCATTGGTGACCTAAAGAGAGAAGGACGTTTATAAATTTATAAAAGCAAAAATTGCACCTTTAGATCTGTAACTTGTTACTTGTAGCAACCTTTACTAACTTGTCCTTAACCTACAAAGCTAATTGTAATGGTGTTCGACCTTTAACGTGTTCGACAAATTTAGTCCCATCAGATGGTTTCCATCCTATACTCGATTAAAGGATAACGTGTTAATAATTTGTAATCAATATGAATACAAAATTATGAAAGAGAGAAAGACGAGAAAATCTCACCCCACTCTTCATCTTGGCTAACGAAACCCAATTCCAACCACCTCCCAAACACACCAAGGTGGCTCAAGCTATTTTATTTTTAATTTGATTAGGCTAGCATGTTATGACTAACATACCATTTCGACAACGATATTTAGTCTTTGCTTTAGGGATGTCAATTAAGTCAAGCTGTCTATGGCATACTTGACTCAAGCCTATAGATTCGACCTTAGGGACGACCCAACTAGTGGCCCCCGACATATGTGGCCTTGGTTATAGAATTAGGCAATGGACCAACCCATTAAATTTTGAAAGAAAAAGACATGGCTTATACTTTTACAAGTTTCATAAATACACAACGGCAAAACTTGAATTTAAGAGATGTCCAATCATATTATAACAACTACTAAATGTATTTCTTTCAATACAAATTTAAATAACGACATTCGTAAATAACATATATGCAAGAAGCATACTTAAAAAACCGAAATTCTGATGCCTATATTTTGCGGAGATATAAGTGTGCATTGTACTAAGGTTGAAAAGTCATGAGAATATGACTGTGTAAGGACTAAGAAGCATGTGCATAAAATGGAAAAAGTTCGAAAGAATAATTCTGTAAAATCATAGCCATTGCTATTTTGGATTCTAACATTGCGAAATTCTAGCCAATGCATACATGATGTCCCCAACCAAAGGGAAAATATGAGATCTGTGTTGAATTTAATTGCATGCTAACAATCAAGAATTACAATACAATAAATTAATAAAATGAATTCATACATGCAGAAGCCATTGTTGATATGAATAATAGTTGTAATAGTGGCCAGATCTTCCCCTCTTTGCACCTCACAAAGTATTAGTTATCAATTGGGCAAGCCAATAAAATATATGGAGAGGAGAGGGGATCTAGCCTTTATATATAGAAAATAATTTGAGTCGTCCCATTACGACTAGAATTCTAATTAGAGTTTATTTCCAGCCCACATGCCTAAAATTACCACACCAAATAAATCACAACCCGTAAGGTGCAAAAGGTCCAATTGATCGCTTAACAAATTTGGCACAATCACAAATATCATTATGAGCCATACATCTAACCCGTAAAATTTGCAATCAATGTGAAACCCACATATAGAATTATTCCAACATTCTCTCACTTGGGCAAATATTTGATTGCTATAACAAAGTTTTAACACCCGGGTTAGACTACATAGGTGGCCACAAAAGTATAGCTCCAATGATAACATCTTACGTAACATGATCCGGTCTAATAAGAACATTAACACCGAACATGGAAGTCATTACACCATTAAACGATGTAAGATCATTCCACAACTACAAATGCCAACATCCTTATCGACATAGATCCCTATCCTCCAACCAATGTGGTGGTATGTGGTATGACTTAGCACCAAATGTGATAAAAAAACTATGCTAATCCATATTGGTCCTCATAATGCTTCTGATCAAAATGAAGCCACATGTCTCTAAAAGAGACTCATCTTATGTCTTTATTTGTCATATCTTGAGATCACAATAATAACATAACAAAAAAGACATAAGTCAAATATATACTCAGAATAGTTCATGGATAGAGGAAAAAATATTTTATTATTATCAGAAGAGGCATACGTACCTCTCAAAGGGATCAAGTCCAAAACATAGTTCTTTTACACAAATAACTCCCACTATCCAAAAATATCAAATGTTTTCACAATGCCCATATTTACCAATAAGTGTCTTAAAGACTTTTAGAGCGAGTCCCTTAGTGAAAGGATCTGCAATCATTACTTTTATATTTATATGCTCTATTTTCATCTGACATTCCTTAATTCTGTCTCTAACCACCAAATTTTGGATGTTAATATACTTTGAACGACTAGAACTTTTATTATTCTTTGAAAAGATTATTGCTGCACTATTATCACAGTAGATGGTGATCGGTCTTGATATGGAATCAACAACTTTCAATCCAGAGATGAAATTTCTTAACCAAAGGGCTTGGACTATCGCCCTATAACATACCACAAATTCAACTTGCATAATAGAAAATGCTACTAGAGTCTGTTTAGTACTTTTGCAAGAGATAGCACCACCAGCTAAAATGAAATGTAACTTGAGGTTGATTTCAAATCATCTTGACATCCAACAAAATCAGAATTTGAATATCCTATCACCTCAAGATGATTTGAACGCTGGAATGTAAGCATATAGCTTTCAGTTTTCTTCAAATATCTCATAATTTTCTTAGCTGTTTTACAATGCTTTTGTCCTGAATTAGATTGAAATCTACTAAGGACACTTATTGCTTAGGCTATATCCGGTCTAGTGCAAACTTGAGCATACATCAAGCTCTCCACAGCACTAGCATATGGAATCATCTTCATAGACTCCCTTTCTAGCTCATTCCTTGGACATTGAGTTTTGTTAAACTTATCTCCTTTTAGGATAAGTACATCACTAGGTGCATAGTTTTGCATATTAAACATTTCTAGAACACATCGTATATAATCTTTCTGAGAAAATCCCAATAAGCCACGATTTCTATCACGATATATTTCAATGCCAAGTACATAGGAAGCTTCTCCAAGATCCTTCATCTCAAAATTAGCAGATAACATTTTCTTTGTTTCATAAATCAATCCTAAGTTACTACTAGTAAGCAGAATGTCATCAACATACAGTACAAGAAAAATAAAATTTCTCCCACTGATTTTGAGGTAAATGTATTGATCAATAGTATTTTCAACAAAACCAAGAGAGGTCACAACCTCATCAAATTTCAAGTACCATTGTGGAGATGCTTGCTTAAGTCCATATAATGATTTGTTTAACTTACATACCAAGTTCTCTTTTCCTTTCACAACAAAGCTTTCAGGTTGTTTCATATAA